CTTTGGTGTGGTGATCCTGGCGATTCTCACCAGCCTCGAACTTATCCCTATCCCTAAGATTGACACGCCAAAAGGCGATGACAATCTCAGGGATTCGCCCTCGAAAAATAAGGGAACCCCTAAGATTGGCATCGTGATGAGGAGATGCCCAGCATAGGGATAGGGATATGTTCCAGGCTGGTAAGATCCGCCTTCTCGAGGAGATCAGCCATCGTGTCGGGAGGGAGGGGTCTGGGAGGATGAAGGGCACGAGCACTGGCACTCGGAGGCAGCGAGCGATACCTTCGGCCGCCTGCGGGCAAGGCTACCCTCCTTTCTGCCAGCTTCACCCCCCCAACCCGATGATTATCTTCCTGTCGGGGATGGACAAAACCCCCTTTAGCAAAACGTGGTTTAGTGAAAACGACCTCGGGCCCAAACCTGGCGGGCGCAAGCCTGGAAAATGACGGCCGCGGCGCCCTCTCGAGAACCGAAAACGGCAAATTCACCAATCGACGTGTCAGGGTAGGAGGTCTGTCCACCCCCGATCCTGACTTCTGGAGCCCGTCATCGGGCCCTGGGACCACCGCAGCCCGATCCGGGGGGCGAAAAACGGCACCCGGAGAAGCGGTCGGGACCTCTTGGGCCGCGGATCGAGAAGACAGGTCGGCGGATGTCGGCGGACCTGGCCAGAGGATCGCGCCGCATCGCCAGTGCCTCAGCGAGGCATCGGAGACATCCGCAGTGCATCGGCGCGGTCGGCGTGGAGAAGACTGGGCTCAAGATCAAGACGCACCGCTGATGCATTGGCGATGTGGCGCGATCCTCCGACCACGTCTGCTCGGACCCCTTCTGGGAGGCCTGGATCCATCCCGTTCCCAAGGTTCACTCCCAACCATGAGATCCGACGTGTCGGGACGATAACCGTTACAAGATATCCCGACCAAAGCCGAGGGCAGTTCTCGAGGCCGGTCGACCTGCAGGGGGCCCAGTGCCCGAATCCCGAATCCGAGCGAGCACGCCTGGTCTGAAAAGATTGCGACGCCAAGATCTCAAGGAATGTCGTCCTCAGCAAAAGATCGACTACAACATAGATTTTCTCTAAAAACATGCTCCGTCGAATCAACGGGGAATACGTAAAATGTTCCTTTGATTTCTACGGAGCATTCGACGTACGGAGCATTCGACGTACTTGTTTTAGGCTGATCGGGAAAATCAATTGTGAGGCAAATCAAGTCTGTAGTCGACCTCCTACTCGAGGAGTGTCGTCCTCTGGGGTTGTTTTCCCGAGAGAGCGACCCTGGAATCTTCGACCCTACACGAAAAGTCTCATGCCCGACCCTGGACTCTTCGCCCGTATCGTCGCCTCCGAGAGCAGCCTGCTGACAGCCGCTGGGCCCCGGCGAAGGCCCCCGGAGCCCGACGAACGGCAAAACGAAGTCCGCCGTGCTTTGCGCCCCGACGCGAGGTCCTCCTCCTCCTCCTCCTCCTCCTCCTCCTCCTCCTCCTCCCCTCCTCCTCCTCCTCCTCCTCCTCCTCCCTCCTCCTCCTCCTCCTCCTCCTCCCTCCTCCTCCTCCTCCTCCTCCTCCTCCTCCTCCTCCTCCTCCTCCTCCTCCCCTCCTCCTCCTCCTCTCTCCTCCTCCTCCTCCTCCTACCTCCTCCTCCTCCTCCTCCTCCTCCCTCCTCCTCCTCCCTCCTCCTCCTCCTCCTCCTCCTCCTCCTCCTCCTCCTCCTCCTCCTCCTCCTGGGGGCGCGGAGGAGAGGAGCTGCCCGGGCAGGGCCGCGTGCCGTGGCGCGCCCGTCGCGCCCAGGGCTCCGACCTGAGCCCGGTCGCCTGCGGCGGGGGTGGAGGCGCCTCCGAGCCGGGGGCGCAGCTGGCCATCGCTCGGACGTCCATTCCCTGGGTTTTTTTTCGGTTTCGTGCGTGGTTGTTTCGCCAAATGGTCAAGGATGCTCCTCGATGGTCCTCGCCGAAGAAAAAATGCACACGTCCGAGCGATGCCAACGCAGAGGGAGCCGCGGAGGCGTGGCCCCTGGGGCCTCGGCGGGCGCGTCGGCGGCCGCCGCGCGCGCGCGGCGGAGGAGGACACATCGAGCAAGAGATCGACCACGAACTTGAAGTACCCCACGCTTGATTCTTCCGCCGGGTCAGCAAGTTTACGTAGAAGGCCCAGTAGATCTACGGAGCAGTATAGATTAATTCATATATATATATATATATATATATGTATATATATATATATGTATGTATGTATGTGTGTGTGTGTTCCTGTTGACTCTGCGAACAAATAGGTTGGTGGGTGGGGGCAAATCAACTCTGTAGTCGATCTCTGACTCGACCGCAACGCAACGAACTGTCCGACGGAGCACCGTTGGGTCGGAGTATCCAGACCCCCTCGGGCCACCACCACCCTGTAATGCGCCCCAAAACCCCTCTTGATTGGAGGGGTCCTGATGGGGAAACCTACCACCACCCCGGATCATCCCCAAAAAGCCCCCTCTCAGGAGGGGGGTCCTCCGGGGAAGCCCCACCACCACCCCGTAACCCCCCAGAACCCCCCTCTGACGGGGGGGACCTGGAGGGAAAGCCCACCCACCCACCCAAACATCAAAATGGTTGGTTTGTTCGCTATGTTCCCAATCCAACCTGTGGTGTTGGGTCCTCGTTTTGAAAAGACAGCGCCCCGCGTCCCTCCTCTCCCCACCTCCTCCTCCTCCTCCTCCTTCTCCTCCTCCTCCTCCGCCTCCTCCTCCTCCTCCTCCTCCTCCTCCTCCTCCTCCTCCCCCTCCTCCCCCCCTCCCTCCTCCTCCCCTCCTCCTCCTCCTCCTCCTCCCTCCTCCGCCTCCTCCTCCTGCCCTCCTCCTCCTCCTCCTCCTCTCTCCTCCTCCTCCCCCTCCTCCTCCCTCCTCCTCCTCCTCCTCCTCCTCCTCCTCCTCCTCCTCCTCCCTCCTCCTCCTCCTCCTCCTCCTCCTCCTCCTCCTCCTCCTCCTCCTCCTCCTCCCCCTCCTCCCTCCTCTCATCCTTGCCTCTGCCATCCGCATGTCTCTGTTTCGGCACACCCCTCACACTGCCGTGGCCTCATAAGGGAGCTCCACCGAAGGCTCAATGCAGCCGTTCGCATGCGCCCGCCGCACCCATTTCGGCGCACCCCTCACACGCTTTGTGACCCGGTGGGGAGCTCCATAGAAGGCCCCAATGACTTTCGTTCGAAGGCGCCTGCCGCACCCATGTTGGCAAACCCTTCACACGTTTCGAGGCTCAATACGGAGCTCCACCGAAGGCCATGGTAGCTACGTTCGCTTGCGACCGCCGCACCAATTTCGGCACACCCTTCACACGTTTCGAGGCCCCGTGGAGCTTCACCGAAGACCCCCATGGCTGCGTTCGCATGTGCCCGCCGCACACATGTTGGCACATCCCTCACACACTTCGTGGCCCCAATGGGGACTCCACCGAAGGCCCCAGTGCCCATTTCGGCGCACCCCTCACACGTTTCGTAGCCTCATAAGGGAACTCCACCGGCGGCCCCAGTGGCTGCGTTCGCATGCGCCCGCCGCGCCCATTTCGGCACACCCCTCTGCTAGGCAAGACTCCTCCCCAAGCTGATTCAAACATCCGTAGTGCTAGACATGCCCCATCTGCCGTGCTGCACCCTCTGCTAGGCAAGACCCCTCCCCAAGCTGATTTGGGCCGGCGCCCCTGCTTTAAAGTAAAGGGGCCCAGGGACACACAACCAAATAGACACAAACTCCAGGATTCCCAATGTGCCCCCATATTTTCTGGGTTTTCGGTTTCCCCCCACTGTCCATACTTTCCCATATTTTCCTGGGAGTCGACGGCTAATTGTGTCTGTGTCTTCTTTCCCGTCCTGATGCCTGCCAGAACGGGTGGCGCCGGGCCGACCAACCGCTCCATGCCACGCGCGCCGTGCTCCTTGAGGCATGGGCGCGCCGGGAGACGGCCGCTGTGGCAGGCAGAAGGGCTGGCCTCGCGCACGTCGCGCGCGGTGTGGAGCGCTGGGCAGCCAGGCGTATGCTGGAGTCGAAGGCCCTCGCGCCAGATGCGGCTGGGGCCTTGCGCGCAGTGCTGTCTGGGAGCGTCGCTACGGAACCAGCAGCGGCGAAGTGGGGCGAGCTGGCCAGATGCCCGCACTGCGGCGCCGCCTGCAGGGACCTCTCGGGGCGCCGACAGGGCCGCCGCCCTGGCGACGGCGGGGATCTTGCAGGCCGCGTGGCGCGCGCGGCTGCCGCCGGGCTTGGCGAACACGGGCGTGCTGGCGACGGACGTCCAGCTCGCCGCCCTCGCCGAGGAGGCCACCCGGGCCTTGCCACCAGCCCCGCTGCCCCCGCGTCAGGCACCGCTCCGCGGGGGGCCTCTCGGTAGCCCACGAGAGTGGCAGAGCTGCGCAGGGGGCAGCCTGCCAGTAGGAGAGGCAGAAGGTAGGAGGGATGCAAAGAGGAGGAGGAGGAGGAGGAGGAGGAGGAGGAGGAGGAGGAGGAGAGGAGAGCAGCAGCAAGGAGGGAGAGGAGGAGGAGGAGAGCAGCAGGAGGAGGAGGGGGGGGAGGAGGAGGAGGAGAAGGAGGAGGAGAGAGGGAGGGAGGAGGAGGAGGAGGAGGAGGAGGAGGAGGAGGAGGAGGAGGAGGGTAGGAGGAGGGGAGGGAGGAGGAGGAGAGGAAGGAGGAGGGAGGACCCAGCAGCGTTCCCAGACCCCTGACGTCATGATTTGTTCGTAACGTCGACCCTGGAAATCTCGACCCGTTCCGAAGGACAGGTTTGTCATCCCGAGTCGTTGTTCGACAGTCCGGAGGCCTGGTGAAGGCCCCCAGAGGCCTAACATCACGAAACATGTCCCGCCGTGATTGCTTCATGATTGGAGGGGGTCGGAGCTTCACTCAAAGCGAGGACCAAGCAAGAGGAGCGGCTGGGAAAAAGCACGTCAACATCCATCCCCCGCCTCCCAAGAGGAGGGCGAGGAGCGGCAGCGGCTGGGACAGAGAGGCCCCCCACCCCCGGGTGCGCTCCTCGATCTCGACGTGCCGCGTCACGGGCACGGAGAACGCGCGCTTGGGGGAGGGGGGGCCGCTCTCGCTTCGGGGATCATCCGCCCAGCACCTCCGCCGACCCCTCGTCCGGCAGCAGCTCATGGGAGCCTCCCAAACTATCATGCCGGCTCTTGCGAATCGACGCTAATCGACGCTAAATCGGCGCTACCCGACGCTACCGAAGGCCAAATCGGCGATACCTCGTCGACTCCCAAACGCTACTCGACGCTAAAGACGGAATTAAGAGGGTACACAGGACTCCCATGATTCGCTACCAAATCCTCGTGCTCCTGCTCCTGCTCCTTCATCCTTTTCCCTTGTAGCATACTTCTCCCGTCGCACCACCAGACGTGTCCGTAGGCCAGCTCGGGCTTGCCGCCTGAAGCTTCTCACAGCTGACTTCCCCGAGGCTTGAGACTTCCAACGGTTGCACTGATGGGAGCCGGGTCCTTTTCTAGATGGGGCTCTGACCTCAGCGCCGCGCACATTCTTTTTGAAAGCTGTGAGCAGTTACATTGGTGGAGGGAGGTACTTGTGAAAAAAGCGTTCTCGCCTCAACGCCGCGCGCATTCGTTAAAACGCTTTCAGAAAATCGCCTCTTTCACACGAAAGTGCTGCCTCAATCATCCTGACCTCGCGGCCCCGTCCTGGCGGACTGGAGCTCGCCTGCGACTTCCTTCGAAAATGCGATTCCAAGTTTCAGTGTCAACCAATGGCACACGGACAGAAACCAGTTCCATGTTCAAAGATTAGGCGTAGCGCAGCGTAGATTCGCCTGAAAAGCCTGCAGCCGTCACCAGGAAGGAGGGTGGCTCCACTTCAAAATTGGGAGCTCGCCTAAAAAAGCCGCGCGCATCCATCTTGAGACCCTGCAGCAGCTACAATTACGTAGACGGACCGAGGCCACTACCCTCTTCAAAGCAGGGCCTCCCGCCGTAGCGCCGCACACCTTCGCCTTAACATTAAGTCGGGCGTGTCCCCCTACAGCGGGATTTTCGACAAAGAATTAAAACTACTCCAACAATGCCCCAAAAAGGTCAAACAAAGATTCGAAACATAATCCCCAGACTATGTTTGGACCATTGTTGGACTATGCTTGGGGCATCTTCCATCTTTCGTCGAACATCCCCCTGTAGGGGGACAGGCCCCACTTAACCTTCACACATTGCAGCAGCTCCAAGCACGGCAGGCGCTCGGCTTCCAGAGCGGATCTCTCGCCTCAGCGCCGCGCGCATCCGTTCATACATCTAAGTCGGGCGTGTCCCCCATACAGGGGGAGTTTCGACGAGAACTAAAACATGCCCCCAAAATAACCAAAGCATGATCCAAACATAGTCTGGGGACTACTTCATATTTTTGTCCTATTTGGGTTTTTTTTTATTTGTTCGTCGAAAATCCCTTCTTATAGGGGGACGCGCCCGACTTCAATCCGACATCTCGGAAGCCGCGCTCCGCCGTGGGCGGCCCCCTTGCTCCCAAAGCGGGGCCCTCGCTGGACACACCCCCCGTGGAGCGGTCCGGCCGTGCCCGATTTTCTATGCTGCGCCCATGCCTACGTAAGGACCGCATCCCAGAAATCCTTTCGAACACCCAGAATCAGGGGGACGTAAGACCCGGGTACAGGGGACTCGGAAATCCCCGACGAGGTCGTCAAAAAAATGACGAGGCCGAGCCTGCATTTTGACGAGGTCCCCCGCTGCAAACATCCAACGAAACTCCTACTCGTCAAAATCCGAGTCGCGGTCGTCAAAAAACGATGGCGAACCCGAGTCCTGGCAAACCCGGGTCTTACGCTCCCCCGATACGTAAGGGCCGCATCCCAGAAATCAGTTCGAGCGCCCAGAAAAGTGCTACGCATCCCAGAAATACTTTCTCGGGGATGGACAGACCCCCCTTTAGAGCAAAACGTGGTTTCGTGAAAACGACCCGAGGCCCAGACCTGGCGGGCGCAAGCCTGGACAATAACGGCCACGGCGCCCCCTCGAGAACCGAAAACGGACAATTCACTAATCGACGTGTCACTGTTGGGGGTTCTGTCCACCCCCGACTTTCGAGCACCCAGAAAAGCGTCAAAAGGGTGTCGAAGCAGTGTCGAAGCAGTGTCGGGCGAGTGTCCCCCAGGGCCCGACGCGTGAAAGCCCTCGAGTTTCGTTTTTTTTTAGGGGGGGCCGCTCGGCATCCTTCCTGGTAATCAAGGCTAAAGTAGGTTGGAGCATCATAAACCTGATGGTGTCTCACAACGTCGACCTCCAGAGGTCCGGGCCCGTTCCCCACGTTGGCCGCGCGCAGGAGGGGGGGCAGGGGGAGGAGGGGGAGGCTCCTTAGAAGGAGGAGGCTTCTCAGAAGCCGCGGGCCTTATCTTTACAGACAAAGCCCGCGCCTTCTAAGAAGCACGGGTGCTCCTAAGAAGCCTTCCCCCCTCCCCGTATACCCCCCTCTACACGCCGCCAATTCACAGCGTCGACCTCTACAGGTCTGGACCCCTTCCCCACGACCGGTTTGTCATCCTGGGTCGCTGTTGGACGGTCCCGGGGCCCGGCGAGGGCCTCCCGGAGGCCGAAGATGGCGACACACCTCCCGTCGTGATTTCTCTTGTCACTGCGCGAGGGGGGGGGGGGCCGGGCCTTGCTCCGGCCGAGCGCCCTTCGATCGGCGCCTTCTCCTCCCCCTCCTCCGCCTCCTCCTCCGCCTCCTCCTCCTCCTCCTCCTCCCCCTCCTCCCCTCCGCCGCCTCTCCTCCTCTACTCCTCCTCCCCGCACCTCCTCCGCCGCCACCCCCTAAAAAAACAAAGTAGGTGGGGGGCTCCTCCTCCTCCTCCACCTCCTCCTCCTCCTCCGCCCCCCCCGCCTCCTCCTCCGCCTCCTCTTCCTCTCCTATCCTCCTCCTCCTCCTCCTCCTCCTCCTCCTCCTCCTCCTCCTGAAGAGCGGTCCTCGTCGGACCGGCAGGCCCAGAGGGCGTGCGCCTCTCCAGGGGGCGTCTCTCTTTTTTGTTCTAGTGGAGGGACTGGCTTCTGAGGGCGCACGGGAAGAGGGCGCACGTGCGGCGGCAGGGTGGACTGCAACATCGGCACTGCATCCTGGGTTTCCTTTGCTCCTCCTCCTCCTCCTCCTCCTCCTCCTCCTCCTCCGCCGCCTTTTTCCTCCTCCTATTCCTCTTCGTCTTTCCTCTTCCTCGCCCTCCTCCTCCTCCCGCCTCCTACCTGCCTGCCGCCCTGTGCCGCCCTCCTACCTCCGCCTCCTCCGCCTCCGCCTTCTCCTCCTCCTCCTCCTGCTCCTCCTCCTCCTTCCTCCTCCTCCCCTCCTCCTCCTGTAGGTTTCTGGACGCTTCATACTCGAAATGGGCCTCCAGAGGATTTCTCCTCCTCCTGCTCCTACGTCATCCTCTTGCGTTTGATCGTGTGCTTTCTCCTCATCGGCCTCCTCCTCCTCCTCCTCCTCCTCCTCCTCCTCCTCCTCCTCCTCCTCCTATTCCTCCTCCTCCTCCTCCTCCTGCTCCTCATCCTCCTCCTCCTCAATCTCCTCCTCCTCCTTCTCTCGCGGCGCCACTACCTCCAACGGACTCCTCCACCCTATTCTTCTACTCCTCACCCTGCGCCTTCGCATCCTGCGAAGCTGGAGCCCGACGGCACTGGTGACAACGATCAGAGCAGCGTGCGTGAGGGACCATCGGGGGAGGCGAACCGAGAGCCCAAAGACATCAGCTACCGCATTGAGGAGAAAGGCGCGTGTGAGAATCATAGTGGTTGCGAGCAGGGCCAAGTGGAGCCGTTCGTCGTCAGCAACATCGCTGGGAGAAACGCGTGCGAGAACTGCGAGGAAGCTGCAGAGGGAGAGGGTAAGCCAGAACCCAACGCCATCAGCTACGGTGGAAGGAGCGAGTGTGAGAAACCCAGCGCCTGTGAGAAGAGCTCCACCTGGGAGCTGCGCGTGAGAGAAGTGCGAAAAGGATGCATCGTGCGAGCAGGCGCAATGGCCGTTGGAGGTAAAGAAGAAACCCGACACCATCAGCTGCATCGTCGGTGCCAGCGCGGGCAAGAGCAGCACAGGCATGGCTATGCGGGGGGCAGAGATCGCCGCGGAGCGGCTGGCCGACGGAAGCGAAGGGATGGAGCTGGAAACCATCGGCTTGGTTGGGAACAGTGCGTGTGAGGACGCGGCCCGACCTGGGACAAGAGGAGGAGGAGGAGGAGGAGGAGGAGGAGGAGGAGGAATAACATCCTTCAAGAACATGGGACCCTCATCCGGCCAAGCTGAAGAGCCTTCGAGGGTGCCCTCCCCCCAGGGCGCAGAAGAGCATGCAGCATACACGAAGAGCGCGGGGGTACGCTTCTGGAGCCGACCTCAGCCCGATGCCGCGGTCCGACCGCAGCCAAGGGCAAGCGGAGGACGTCCACTGTGTGTGGGGGGGGGATCCCCTCCCAGAGGCGGACCAGGCTGGGGTGGAGCGACGATGCCCGCGACGTCCACGCCCAAACGGCTGAAGACCCCAAACGCCCACCATCCAAGGATCGCATGGGAGTCCCTCGAGACCACTCGAGGCAGACTTCGAGAAGATGATCCTGTGGACCACAGGGCCGAGGACAACGCGCATAAGCGTCGAGCTTAGTCGCGTGTGAGAAGTGCGCAGTGGCAGCAAGAAGGAACGCACATGCTCGGGCGAAGGTCGCCCACCGTCCGCGCAGTGGATGGGGAAACTCGGGATTGCTAGACAACTCGTGAACTTCACCACGTGAATACGCCAACTGCAGACAAAACTCCTCGCCCCTCCGCGCTCATCGCTTTCCTTCTTCCCCCTCCTCCTCCCCCTCTTCCTCCTCCTCCTCCTCCTCCTCCTCCTCCTCCTCCTCCTCCTCCTCCTCCTCCTCCTCCGCCCCCCGCCTCCTCCCTCACAATTCCTCCTTCCCCTCCGCCTCCTCCTCCCCCTCGCGCTCGAGCCGCGGACCTTGGCATCCGAAGAACTCCATCCCTTCGTCCTCATCCTCTTCCTTCTCCTCCGCTTCCTCCTCTTCCGTTTCTCCACG